CTTTAAAGTTCATATGGAGCTTGCTCAGATTTTTCTAAGAGAGAGCAAATCAAACATATTGCCTATCTCTTATCCTTCTATGTGAGACCAAGAAACTCTAGTGTAACATACAGTTTAGACATATAATCCTCAATAGGACCTTCAAGAGGCAGATACTATTTCTGCCACTATAGAAACAAATTGGGATGTTTTCTGTGTTTGATTCAAACACAAATCTAGCTCTATGAAAGCTAAAAAATAAGAGGCAGACTTCTGTGCCTATCCTCTCATACTCTGGGGGAGTATTTTCTTAGCTAAGAATGAGTCAGTTTGTTTTAATTTGCTGAATGTTTTATATTACATTATACAAGTTAATATTCTGCTTTCTCTACATTTCTTTATTAGGTCACATTTTAAGTAAGTGAATACCATACATCAGCCATGGTCTTGACTACTGGAAACACAGCAATGAATAAGGGACACAATCTGTTCCTGCCCTCAAAGAGCTTATGTTTCTGAAGAGAAAACAAATAAAAAGCACCCATGGCAATAATTAAGGCAATGTTAGATTTTGAAGCTCCTTGAAGAAAATACAGTAGAGTAGAGTAGAGTAGAGTAGAGTAGAGTAGAGTAGAGTAGAGTAGAGTAGAGTAATGTGATTCACAGTAATTTTGTAGGATGGGAATGCATATTTTTTCAAGTGTCATAGGAAACATCTCTCTTTGAGGAGATAATCCAAATCATGAGCTGAATAATGAAAAGGAAGTCTCTAATATGAAGATATAAGAAAGGAAGAACAAATATAAGAGCAGCAAATAACAAGGCCATGAAGTACAGGGAAGCGTGGTATGTCCCCAGGGCAGCAAAGATGGCCAGGGTGGCTGGAGTGTGGCTAAACAATTGAAAGTTTGAGGTAAATGTATCAGAAACATAAGCAAATCATGGAAGGGCTGGTATGCGATAGTAAGGAGATTGGATTTTATTCTTCCTGCATGGGAAATCTTTGGGTAGAAATAGTATTACCTCATCTATCTATTAGAAGTTTACTCATGCTGCTCTTTAGAGATTGGGATGAAGAAAGCAAGAGTGGAGACCAGTTATGAAGAGGTGTAGGAGTCTCTGTGATCAAGGATGAGACTTAGATTAGATAACAACAGCAGAGATGGGGAGAAGTAGCAGCTTGGATATATTTCAATGTAGAGTTGATTTGATTTACCAGTGGGTAGAATGTGGGGCATGAGGGAAAGAAGAATCAAGAATTACCCCTAAGCTTGGACTGAGCAATGATAAGTTGATGGTTCTGATAGATAGAGAAGGCCTAGGAAAGAGAAATTTGTCAGAAGATGGATGAGGTTAGTATATCTGTACTTCTGTTGGGGCCATGTTAACCTTAAAAGATACCAATGCAGAGATGTAAATCAAGCAACAACATTTATAAAATAAAGCTTAGGGGAGATATTTGGGCTACAGAGATAGTCTTAAGTGATCTAAGCCTACAGATGGTATGTAAAGCCACGGACTGAACAAGATTACCGGAAAAGGTTTCTACCAACCAGAAAAAGAAGAAAAAAGAACAGTCAGTCTAAAATCTAGATCTGAAATGGGGAAACAGCAAGAAAACTGATAAGGAGCTGCACAAAAGGTAAAAGGATAAAGAAATGTGTCTGTGAAGGAATGAAGAAATAGAAGACAAAATAATAAAAGGCTTCAAAAAGGAGACATTGATCAGCTCTGTAAAATGCTGTTGAAAGGTCCAATTGAAAGAAGAGAAATAATTGTCCATTTAAAAAGTAATACAGTGTAGTGGCCAAGAGTATAGACTCCAAAATCCGAGTACCAAGTTAAAATC